GACTTGAAAAACCTGCGAATTTTTCGAGAATTTTCGCGTAAAAAACAAGTTGTGTGGATCGAAGAAAGGATCGCAATTTAGAACGCAGTCGAGCAGAAACCACTTGAATTAATGTGAAAAATGGGCGGAAAACTGGTCAACGCAGGAGATGCGACGTTGCCACTGAACTTTTGCCTATTGGAAGGCACCACGATAAGAATTGCTAGAGAATGGCGAACTTGAGACGTGAGACAAAAACGCAAATCGTAAAAATCGTCGAACGCCGCAAGCTTATTAAAGCCGCTTCTTTGTGGATAAATGAATAGGAAAACCAGCGAAAAAGTGGGCAATTTGGAACGCAGTTGAGTAGGAAACGCATTTCAAACAACGTGATTTACTCGAAATGGTCACCAATGCACCACGTAAGGAAACTTTATTACTCTATGAAAGAAATTTGGAACGCAGTCGAGCAGAAAATACCCCTGAAATAACGTAATTTACCGCGAAAAAATTGCCGCAAAAAAGTTGAGAACTTATTTAAATCCTGGTGCGCCGCAAGCTTATTAAGGAAAACTAGCGAAAAAGTAGGCAATTTGTAACGCAGTTGAGTAGAAAACACATTTCAAATAACGTGATTTACTTGAAAAACCGTCATAAAATGCGCATCTTTCATCGGTTGTGTCCAAAAAAGGAAAAATGTTGACATTGGCGAGCGCAGCTGGTCAGCAATGGAGGGCACCACGTAAGGAATCTTTATTACTCTATGAAAAATGCAAGCGCCATTAGAGCCGCCGGCTTATGGATGGATGAATGAGTATTTAATCTTGAAAAACCGGCGAGAAAGACGGAAATTTGGAACGCAGTCGAGCAGAAAATACCCTTGAAATAACGTAACTTACGACCAAAAAATTGCCGCAAAAAAGTTTAAAAAATATTGAAATTCTGTTATTTAAGCCTCTTGTTTGTGGATAAATGAGCGGAAGAACTAGCAAAAAAGTAGGCAATTTGGAACGCAGCTGAGTAGGAAATGGAGGGCACCACGTAAGGATTTTTTGTTTCCTGCGCAATTTGGAACGGAGTCGACTACAAAATTTGCGTTTCCACCAATTGTGCCAAGAAAGGAAAAAATGTGAAAATTCCGGGACGCAGCTGGTCAAAGTTACCTAACACTTTRAAGGAAATGCGACGTTGCCATTCGGGTTTGGTCAATTCGAAGACACCACGTGAGCAACAGGCGATCTTGCCGTTGAAAAAACTGCGAATTGACAAAAAAAAGATGGCAATTCAGAACGCAGTCGAGCGTAAATTAGTGTCGAAAAGCCGTGATTTTGATCGAAAAACAAACTTTGGAATTGCGGAACGCAGTCGGTCAATGCACGTGACGTTGGCCCAACTGAATCCGGCGCGTGGCTGGATAGGGACGCATCCGAACTGGTCCATCGCGTTGCCGGAAATTTGTCAAAATTGACGAAACATTTGCATAAACCCGGCATTGTTTAAACAATTAATTGTTGTGTGCTGGTAGCCTTGACGTGCACGTTTGCCGACGCCACAATAACAAGCGTAACCACGATGATAATGAGAGCGATAATTGGGCGGAATGTAAACATGTGGCCGCGAGCAATTAAATGGCATTAACCCTAATTAGGGTTATGCGGCCTCTCGCTTCTGCACGTGCGGCGGCCGAGCGAGAGTGAGAGAGACCGGGGGGGCAACTTACTGGCCAGCACCGAGAGCAATTGGCCCTTCTCGAGGATCATGTTGTTGGGCACCGCTGAACCTGCACACGAGCATTGGACGAGCGTGTCCCGTCCGGAAAACTGTCCCGCGCTCCACTGGACAAACCGCGTGTGGACGTCTAATTTTAGGCTCGGCCGCGACGTCACTGCCTGCGCTGGCACACTGACCGGCAGCGGCGAATCAGCTGGTTTTATTTAGACTGAAGAGTGTACAGGGTGGAGCGGCCAACAGCGGGACCAGTTCGGCCCTGCCCAGTTTCGGGGCGCGTCGCCTGGCAACCGCCCTCGGGTGGTGAGTGCCGCGGTCGGCCGCTAGATGGGGGCGCGAGGGTGGTGAGTGGCGCGGCCGGCCGCTAGATGGAGGCGCAACTTACCGGTCAAAACGGCCAGCAGTTGGGGCGCAGCCCACCCGATTTGCGGCAGTTTCATGGCGCACCGCACAAAAGCTGCAGACTCAGTGAGAGGAAAACCGATGCTCGTGCCTCATCCATTAAACATCGGCAATCAAAATGCAAAAAAACCAGTTGCGCTCGATCGGGTACTTACTGCCCAGCACGGCGACGATCTGGGGGGCCGTGCCCCTGAACATGTTGATGAACCCCTTCTCGTGCATGGCGGCTCTGAGCGATCAGAACGGCAGCAATGCAGCCTCCCCTCCGGTCAAAAATGGGCGCGTCTCACCCTGTATGTGTGGAGTAGTTTGCGCAACGCCGCATTAAGTAATCCGTGTTGGTTCAGTGGTTGGCACCCGCGGAGCAGAAGAGCAAAGAAGACGCGACCGGACTAGTTTGGGAGCGGTTTAGTGCGTGGGCAAATGGCCAGCGGGCGACGACGCGCGCTTCCCTCAAAGGGCGTCTGAGCGGGTTGGGGAGAGTTGGGGGCGCGCACAGCGACTGAACAGCGTGGCGCCCGCTCGCCCATTTAAACGGTGGCGCGCTAATCCGCGAAAATCCGGGCGGGATTAGGGCCGAATCTCGGTACATCAGTGCCGGATTAACGGGCCTCGTTAGCACACTTCCGAGGTCTGTTTGCTCGAATTAATTCGCAGTTGGCGCGCTAATCGGCTGCGTAAACTGACGCAACTTGATTGAGCTAATTTGATTGATGCGAGTGACATCGACCGTTGTAAATCATTCATGAAGCCGAACGCTGGCGGCCGGCGTTTGTTTGCCGAGTCGGCGGAAGCGCACAGCCAGTGGCGCGCCCAAAAGGCTCGGCACAACATCGACACCCAACTCAGGTCGATCTATTTGGTTTCAACGCAAAAAAACACTCTAAACTAGTCAAATCATTGTTTGTCACGTTGAAATCAGTGTCGTGCCCGAAGGGCTCGGCACAACAAATACATCGGACTGTGTTGAGTGTCGATGTTGTGCCGAGACCTTCGAGCACGACACTGGCTTGTATGCGACAACACTCTAAACTAGTCAATTATTCACTCTTTTCGAACACTAAACGACGTTTGCATAGACTACTTTGACGTTTCGAAGCACAGCCGTGTCAAAACTTTGACATAATTGGGACCTGTCACCCAATGTCAAATGACGCAGGCATTCCGAGCGTAGTCCTACTCGACTAGAAAACGCCTTTTTTTTAATTTTTAATTTTTTTTCCTAATTTAGATCTATGAGTACTTGTACAATTTGCGGCACAAGGACTACAAAAATGCCCAGAAAGGAACTGCACCAACGACGAACGGCACCAACTGCGGAGTTTATAAATTTGGCTTTAAAGTCGCTCTGTGCGCTGTCGAGTCGTTTTGAGGCACAGGAACGACCGGATTTTGTGGGATTTGTTGGCAAAAGACGCGCAAAGCGGAAAGTTGCGAACGCAGCATAGCGTCCTTGGGCTGTTTGCCTGGTTTATTTCGCCTAAGCGATGCCTTCCATCGACTAGGAGTGATCGAAAAGTTCAGTTTTTGTCGTCGCTGTGCCTGCAGACTTACCGCCAGTGAGTATTTCGCATTATTTGCGCACAAAAAACATTGACAAGCGAGCAACCGCGAACGCAGCTCTTTGCGTTTGAACGAGTGGCGTCGGCTTTCTTGGTGCAGCTCGCGAAGGTTGCGCTTTATCGAGCGAAAATCGCTCAAAACGTGCCGACTGCGTTCCGAATTGTCGCTGCTTTGTCGCTTCCTTTCGAGTTAAAACCGGATTTTTCGGAGCCGTCGCCTCTAAACTCTTGAAACTTTGCGGCTGCGGAGTCAATTTTTGCGAGACTTGAAGCCCAATTGGGTCGGTTTTGCTTGATTTGCGCAGAAAGTCGGTGTATTTCGACGTAAAATCGTTGAAAAAGCGTCGACTGCGTTCTGAATTTTCCGTATCGGCTT